TAATGAAATTTTCTAATAACCAAACTCCTAAAACGAAAATTCGTAATTTCTAAGTACCTCAACATTGCCAAAAAGAAATCGTGGACGTAACCACAGGTTGAGGAATCTTCTTTCTGTCCAGAAAGAGAGACGTTAGTAATAGACGAACGAATTAACTGCTACTAGGAGTATATCTTGTTATAGACACGAGCAAAACGAACTAATACGCTAATGACCTGAAAACCACGTCGAATATGAATAATGATCAAACAGAAATCTGTTATATGTAGACTATAGTAGTTGACTCCCCTCGAGAGTAATCTAAGTATGAATTGACAATGTCGTGAAACTGACCATGACGATATGTTACACGAATTGTGATGCGATAGCGCGATAGGGAAAAGAACAACTCGAGACGAACTTACAAAACGACTTCTAACGCTTGAAGAGCCTATTGATGAGACAAACTTTCCCTAAACTCAATTCTTGACCACACGGAATGCGTGAACGTTTCCACAATCTTGTAAATCGACGAGAAATCTTGAAAAGATCTTATACTGACGTCATAAGCTAAGGAAACAAACGAACTTCGAATACGAACGGAACGATCGACTAAATAACCAACGCTACAATATCTGAAAGCTTAAATACTTGTTTGTATGCACTATGGAGGTACTCCATTTGTATCCTTTGGAATCAAACTCAAGAAAGATCGAAGTATGAACGTGACGCATTTGTCACATGTCTTGAACGAAACACCAATACAAAACTCCTACGGTAATACCTCGAATGATAAACGAATAGAATTTCTGTGGGGATGGCGGGGCCATTCACCTAACCATGATCGTAAGGCGAATGTGAAACTAAATCATTGGAGTTTGTACTTTAGAAGAATTTCGGGGACGAAATTCCTTTAAGGGGGGAAGATATGTAACGCCCCAGAAACCGGTCTAGAAGTTAATCAATAATTAAATAAATAAGAATTATTTATTTATGATAATCTATTCTTTTAAAGAATTAAAAGATATTTTAGAGATTCTAACCGTCTCAATATAACGAGACTAATCTGATTATATTTGTAAAGATTCAAATTAAAGGACTAATTGGTACTAATTAATCGAAAGAATTAAGATAGATCAAGTGGAACGTATAAATGTTTTTCATTTGAATATAAAAGTTATGTAGTTGGGTAGGGATCGACGAATCGAATCCAACGACGTGAACGGATCTCAATTCGGAGCAAGTTGGCTCGAAAAGTGTGTTCTTACTCAGACACGTTAATTTAGACTACGGAGCACAAAACCCAAGAAAAATAAATACTCCCTCTTCTGTTTTGTTCTTCTTCAACTGAACTGCCGCCACTCTCCCTCTTTCTTCCCCAATCGAACAACAGCGGCGCACAAGGAGGCAACGTCGACATCGGCTCGCGACCACGCCGGCCTAGGGGCACAACGGTGAGCAGACCTGACGACGACAACTGGCGGCGATTGGAGCTCCGGCTTGGACGGTGACGAGGGGCAGCGATCTAGGTCAGCGATGTCTCAATCGGCGAGAGACGAAGTCCAGCGCCGGCAACCCTAATGTCTTCGGCGGACGACGAGAGGACGCCGGCAGACTAGCAAATCCAGCGCCGGCTAACGACTCCGACTCCGGCGGGGCTGCTCTCTATTTCGGCGAACGACCCCAGCAACTCCAGCGACCCCCCCCCAACCCCCCTTATGTGTTCCAGCCATTCCGGGCAGCGGTGGTAGTTTGGGCAGCCGTATCGGTTCGGGCAACGGGATGAATCTATTCCGACGATGAATTCTAATCGATGAATCGAGGTGAGTACATGGACATCTAACACTAGAATATGCATCTAGGTTTGAAATTCCGTTCATAATTGTTATCGTGGTTGATCTGTGTGATTCTGTATAATTGTTGATCGTGGTTTTGGGATATGTTTTCGTTAAACCAAAAAGGGTAGTATGCATGATTTAGGCGTTGATTGATGAATTGATGTGCTAGATAATGTTTAGAATGTTAATATGAACCTATTGGTATTTGTTGTCATGAGATTTTTGTTGGTTTGATGCTGAAAACGAAACAGGTTTGGATATGGAATTTGATGTGCCAGACAGATATGGAATTTGCTGTGCGAGACGCTATTCTAACACTCTGTATGTTAACGTTCTCTCTGTCGGTAGCTGCGATCGTTCGGTACCTAGGTACCGGACGGACGGTAGGTCCTACCGCTGGGTCGGTAGTGGCTACCGTGACAGGCCTACCGGCTGGGTTCAGATGGTCCAGACGGTACCCCGGGTACCGTAGGACCGATACCCAGGTACTGTGAGGACGGTACCCCATAACTGTCGTTCCGAAGGGGATAGGGATCTCACCCACCCAAAGAGGAACTCCCGAGTTGGTTTGAGCTTGACCTTCATTCCGAAGGGGAAGGTCAAGACTCCATAGGAAAGTCGAATTCAGTTAAGCTTTAACCTAGCATAGGTTAAGAGCCAAGTACGATAAGGAAAGTAAAGTAAACTAAAAAGGAAAGTTCCTAATACATACACCAAAGTTGTTGTATCCTATGAACTATTATGACGTTGGTTATGCATGTTATATCTTGGATACCGTATGATTGTTGCCAAGCATGTTGTGTGCATGATATCATGTGATAATTATGAATTAGTGGATTCGCCTATGTGTATGTTCGAACTGTTAGATATTTCTCACTTAGCTTCAATGCTGAGCGTGTAGCCCCTTTTTCCTATTTGCTACACGTAGGTGATTGTGGTAGATTGGTTCTGGAATCCATCCCGGAGAGCAGCATGATGGAGGAGATGTACGGATGCAGGGTTTTAACAAAGTTGATGTTTAATGAAATTATAAGGCTTTCGCATTGTTTGTATAAACTCCGATATGTATTTAAATTAATTTAAGTTGTTTGAGTTTTAAATTAAATGTTTTAATTTACTGGATAATATTGTATGTTGATACCAATCTAGTAGCAACCCGGTTCGCTAACCTATTTATTCGGGTTATGCGGGTTGGGGTGTTACATATCGAACCAGTATAAAATCGCTTGTGTCGTACTTTTATACTTTATACTTTTCTTGCTCCTTTTCCGCTATTACTTTGCGCATAAGTTTTTGTATTTTACGAAAAACTTGCAAACACCCTAATTCACCCCCCCTCTTAGCGTGTAAACCGACTTTCAATGTGCCTGATGCTCTATATTTGTATTCTAATCGATAAAGGCAAATGTTAAGATAGTGGTAATAGTATTCTTTCACCAATCGCAGGAAGTTTGTGGAGGGAGGACTGAATTGTATATCTCATTCATCAAGTTGTGCAAGGATAGCTTCTTGCTGTTAGACAAGGCGTGCAACTCTAGAGGGGGGGTGAATAGAGTTGTTGAGAATGATTACCGATGTTCGCAGGATAAATAAAATAAACGTAAGTGCAGCGGAAATAAAAGAGAGAAGGCAAAGAACACACCGATGTATACTGGTTCACCACCTCGTGGCTAGTCCAGTTCCCCGAGAGACTCTCTCGAAGCTACCACTACTTTCGTTAAGCTTACGGGTGCTTAACAAACCGTTTACAACTCGAGAACTTGAATCCCACAAGCCCCGATACAACCGCTCGTAGATATGCTCTCTACAAGACTTCACAACCAAAACTTAAATCACATAAGCCTTGAACAACAAGAAGAACAATCTTCTTCAACCTCTCAGCAATAACTCTCACAAGAGTAGAAATGAGAAAAGATTAAGCTCTATGGATGACAAGAACACTCTCTTGAAAACACTTAGTTTTCTCTCAAAATATATCAATTTGAGGAAGAAATGAATGGAGGATTATAACCTCAAGATTGGGG